GTCCAAAGAAATTCTAATTGTGCAGCTTTGTTCAGTCGTCTTTTGATGAACAGCACCCTGATTACCATTTGCAATTTCCTGATCCAGCCTCCGCTTTTGTCGAGCACATTCACCACGCGGCCCGTTTAAGGGGCAGCTTATTTTAAAACTCTCCTGAGATAATGGATACCCGAATTACTCTATCAAACAGAGCAAGCGCCGTGTGAACAGACGACGGCCAATACCACAGCAACCCGAAGTCTGGAATGCCATTTCCTACATGAAAGGATTTCCGAAGAAATCTCTCGACTGTTAGAACCCGCTGAAATAGGCATTGATCATCGAACTCAGGCGACAATTTGTCACCGTGTGATGCAACCTAAAGACAAACTGCCCCTACTGAAACCTCTGCAGTGGTCTACAAGATAGGTTGCAATGGTGGAGACTGCAATTATGTTGAAGAATCCGGCTCACAATTTAAGACCTGCTTATATGAACACAAACTAGCTGCTCAGAGATTAGACCTAAATTCGCAGATTGCAGTGCACATCGAGGAGCCTGGCCACGACTTCGATATTCAAGGAACGACCATCGTTAGTCGAGGAACCGCAACAGCCGAAAGACTGACGCCTGGGGCATGGTACTTAGATGCCAACCCCGTCAACGAGCATCTAGACCTTCCCGCGTCCTACAAAGTCTTACCACATTATGTGAGCAAAGGACAGAACAAGGTCAAGTCGAAGCTAAGAACTGCAAGCGAAGAGGACCCCATGATGAACCGACCGGAAGCGGAAGCAGGATTACTAGGACCCTGTACAGTGGGGACAACGTGCTACACTAATTGCTGTTTATGACTCTGAATGACCCCTGTCTTCACTGACCGTTAGTTAGCGTATGTCACCATAATTACCCTGCCCCCTTCCTTTTTGGTTGCTGTTTCCTACCCCTCGACGATCTTACAGTTGGTTTGCCTATGCCCATTATAATTATTTTCTTTTTGGTTGGTGCTTCTTATCTCTGTAAGAGTTCGAAAGCTCAGGACAAGAAACAAATTGATCCGGTGCTCGCCAACGCTTCTTCCTTATCCAAGCTTATACACCGCTACTTACGCGCGCCCGCATGGGAGCATTGTTCTAACAGAAGCTAACTGCAAGCCCACGGCAACCTGTCCTGACTGTTCTCATCAGACAGGACGAACGTCTTGTATGTTAAAGTTTCGCTGAGTGCCACAGACAATCCAGACAATTACTTACCATATGCAGAGAAGTGAAAATGACTACTTCATTATGGCCCCATTCGTGACCTCTTAATAATATTTACATACATACTAAAAGGTCGGATTTGGTGACACATGTTGCTGTTGAATTGTAGGGCATAAACTTGCATGGATTAGAAGCTCTAGATTTGAATAGGATGAAGAAAAAGTCGTTAAACAGTTGACACTCGTTAATAAAAAGTTAATAATCGCTAACGGAACTTACTCGTTTCGTAGTGCCTTAAGACTCATTATCGATTGGTGAACATTAATTAAGGAGTGTCATTATCTCGCCATCGAGACAATTAGCTCGTGAGTCAATGATTAGAGCTTTATACTTCTGCTCAAATGGTCGCGAATCCCAGCCTCGGGTGATGTACCATTTGGAGCTGCGTATGACTGGATAAGCCAGAAGTGGTCATTGCAGTCTCGCTTTGTCTTTGTCTTTGAAATGTTCCCTCACCTAAAGTAAATGGTCTAAATATACAAATAAAAGGGAAAAACATACAAAAAGTTATTTTGCCCGGAAATGCATAGATTAGTCAGAAATTTAAATTTTCCTACGGAGAAAAATGAAGAGCGTGAACTTCCACAAATGAACTATCTGGTGAAGCATTTTACGAACAGGCATCAAAGCAGATAAGTTTCTGAAGTTGATCAAGGACATGTTCACCGCTGGCCTTCGTTGTGGACGTACTTTTTGGTCTATTTCATCATATCTTCATAGTCGCTATTTGACAGTCGTGACAGTTGTGAGCTCCTGGGCAAAGCGTAACTTAACTGTCCCCCTACTGGATCGACGAAGAACATATATTCATCAAATTCCCGATTTCAACCGACAAAGCAACGAGCCCGTGTTGCCGTGGTAGAGTATTGAACTCAATGACCAAAGGTCCTGGGTTCAAATCTCGGGAGTTCCAACCCGTGAGATTGGGTATGACTGACTGATGACGGCTAACAAGCCAAAAATGGTCATTCCGGTCTGCCTTTGCTTTCTCGGATCCATTTCATCATATCATCATAGTCAATATGTGATGGTCTGGCGGGTTCATGTTGTGAGCCCCTGGGCAAGGCGGAACTTAATTGTTCCTCTAC